TTTGTGTCTGTCATTTTGGTTAATTACTGGAAGATGGCATTCCAGCCAAAAGGGTCTAATCATTTTTGTAGTTTAAATAATGACTGAGGTCATAAGTGACTTCTATGTTTTATATAATTCTATATACATAAATAATATATTTACAACTCTTACTTGTTTCTATTATAAGAAGATTCTAATCTGTAAAGTTTTAAACTGTTAACTAGCCTGATTTTTCAAGTAAAACAGATTATTTAATGTTTGGATGCCTACAAATGTTCTTCCATCTCTGTACTGTCTTCTTTGGTTCTCTGCATCTATCTCCTTTCAACTATTATTCTCATTCTATATTGTATCTCTCTGTTTCTGCTAAATCAACTTAGGATGGCCTTGACTAGGAAATTGTAATTCAATATAATATATTTAGATTTGATATAAGATGTGAAAAATATTTTCATTAAAATTTTTTTAGAAAATCTAACTTAGAGCAACATTCTCTTGAGTGGACATTCAGCACCCAGAGCATGTGCAAGATGATCCTTACAATTATATTTCTATTTATGTTTCCTTATCCTTTAAAACTATGTATTTTACATGTTTTATAATATACACAAGTGTTCATAATATGTTAGTCTAGTAGAACAAGTGTAAAACAATAAATTTTTTTTCCTTCTGGGATATTAGATCAAAGAAGTTAGGAAACCAGACATTGAAAAACTTTTAAAAATACATTAATTGACACAAAAATGAGAAGTTGTTTGTTGTTGATAATGTATATGCAATGTCTTTGTCTTGACTGTTATGCATTCTATTCATTCTAGAAAAAAGCAGTGTATGCTGTAAAGATATATAGTGATTAAATGTAAATTTTTTAAAAATAAATTTTTTAAAGTTTTTTTGCCATAGGGTGCATGTACTTCCTGGAGCCAATGAGAGGGAACATGAGAAAGCACCCCTGAGGGGCATGACTGCAAACCTTTTTTCTCTATTCTCCTCCATGAATCACCTGTGTCCAGTGTAATTTTCAAGCCACCAGGTCCAGAACTCAAACTATGGTTGGCCATGTGGAAGTCCTGCACCTTAACCAATATGACACCTGCTGGCTCTCAGAGGCTTAAAGTTTTTGTTTTGGAGATTTTTGCAATAGAGTTTGTATACCCGCGAGATAGAGACAGAGAGACAGAGGCAAGAAATCACCACCCAGGGGCGTGACCATGCTACCATCCCGTTCTCTTCTTGGGATTTTGGCCATGCTCCACACACACCCAACATGAGTTTTAAGCAGCTGGGACTGGACTTTCAACCATGATCATCCACATGGAAGTCCAGTGAACTGTTATACCACCTGCTGACTCCAGAGGCTTGAAGTTTAAGAGTACTCATTCAGTTGTCTGATAGACCTTGATTTTATTCTCACTTCTAACACTAGCTGTGTTGTCTTAGACATGTTAATGTAACCTCTCTAAGCCTTGGTGTCTTTATCTGTATAATGGAAATCATCATAGAACATCTATCTCATAAGGTTTCTAGTAGAGAAAATTGAATAATGAATGTAAAGAAGTTAGCATATAGTTTATATTAAAAATTATTAGGTAATTTTATGATTGGAAAAGATAAAATAGAAGAGTCAGTTGGAGGCCTTTGGAAAAAATAGAGCCTAAAATCAAACTCAAACTTTTCTTTGACTGAGAGACACTCATCAGTTTTATTATGATCTGAGAAGCCTCAGTTATCACACATTTTTCAGATAAATCTGTTCATATTTTAAACAACATATTGGGTCGTCAGAAAGGAAAAACATAGAAAAATGTCATGACTTTTCCGACAACCCAGCAGATCACAAAACCGTTTCTGTGAGATCCATGAAGTATTGTAGCATACAGTGCCCTGATTTTTTACAGTGTTCATTTTGACCTCATTTTACAAATGTTTATTTATTCAGTGCAGATAGAAACTGAGTGCTTAAGTACATAATTCTAGGATCCCTGGAGGTAACAGTGTTCTTTTCTTATTTTTCATATTTTAGTTTTGTTTATGTTTTTAGTATTACTGCAAAACTCATCTCATTAGAGGTTTTTATTTTGGTAAATAAGTAAAATAGTAAACATTTACTTACTCAAAAATTTTTGTGCATTAAATTTTATGTGTGCCCCCACACACACAAACACATGTAAATAGCATAAGCTCATTAATATATAAGTAATGGAACATTGAAAATAATCCTGAAAGAACAGATCTACTGATAACTTGTTTCAGAATTAGAAAAGTAAAAAAACAGAATTTAGAATAATCAATGAGAAAGTTAGCCTTTATTTTCAGGAGCATAGTCTTATCTCAAAGGAATTTGAAGTGTTTTTCAGTCTGTTACAGCAGAGCAGATTTTCTCTCCTAAAGCTTTGATAAAGATCAAAATACATTTTAAAGGTTTGTGTGGGTTTTGTTTGTTTTGTTCTTTTTAGTTGAGATTGTGTTGACTTAAAATGCATGAGACTCACATACTAGGATGTCTGGATAATAGTTATATGCTCACTATAGAATTCTAAGAGGAAAGGAGGAAAATAAAAGTATAAGCAGAAAAATAGGGTATGAACACTTAGAGCAATTGGCCTAACATGAGGTTTTTGTCTAAGTCAATATATGACTTAGCAGAGCTGTATTATAAAGAAATATGCAATGAAAAATCAGAGACAATGAAATATATTCTCTAAGATCTCAATCTGCTCAACCAAGAAGTATTGAACACTTACTATGTGTAAGACACTGCAAAATTCTAGAAATGGGGTTGGAAGAGATGAAAGCTAACAAGATGTAAAGATGAATAAAACATGGTCTTTTTTTTTTTCCAGGAAACTTCCAATGTGGTGAGGAAAGTAGAATTATACAAAGTAAGCATGGAAAATATAAAAAAGCTGTGAGATAGTGAAAAGAAGACTCTACTATGGTTGGATCCTAGGCTTGAATTCAGAATGAAGTGCTCTTACTTATAGTTTAGTCTGAGTTACTAGATAAAATGCAGAACATTCAGTTAAATTTTAGGTAAAAATGAATAATTTTTAAATTATAAGTATGCTGCATCGCATGGAGCATACTTACTTTAAGAAATTTCTTGTTTCATTTTATTTTTAAATCTGAAATTCAAATTTAACAAGGCATCCAGTAATTTTATTTGCTAATTCTGGCAACCCTACCTTAGACAAGTATGGTGGTTATTTATAGTTTGCCAACTCTATTCACCATTTTTCTTTCTCTACTCTATCCTTCCAGGAAGCTGACTCTTACGATATCTATTTCCTGGACTTCCTTGTGAGTAGTTTCTTGTTGAATTCAGTCAATGGGAGATACAAGGAGGAAACAGTAGAAAGAAATAGAGGCCAGATTATTTTCCTGCCTTTTCATGCCTCAATGAAGCATCGTTGGTGGTGGCAATATTCCTCTATAATTACAGTTCATGTGTGACAGTTCCTCCTACATGGCTTCAGCTCTCCTGGGATTCTGTTGATACTTTTTTCCTCCCATTGCTCCTTTAGCACTGAGAGTAGCAACACTTCCTATTGCTGCTCATCTCTGAGTATCTCAACATCCCTTTTGATTTCTCTAACCTTGCCTATATCTCTGTAGGTAGTCTATTTTAATCTTCATTGGAACCATTTGTGTTAAATTATTTTCTTCTTGAACTTTGGCTAAAAAAGCAACTCCTTTTAAGTCCTTTGAGCCTCAATCTCTTTATTTATTAAATGAAGCTAATGATATCTCCCCCATATAGTTTCTGTAAGCAGATTAGATATTAATATGTAGATATAATGAGAGGGATATCCAACATTTGATTTGATATTTAGTACATTATATCAATAATTCTTTCCAATTCTGGTATGACTAAATAGTGCCCGTTGAACAAAATCTTGTATAGATATTACTATAAACTCCTGACAAACTATAAAAATCAACTCTCTGAAGTAACTGGGTAGTGATCCATAGCAGGTAGATAACGAAGGAGAGTTAATACTTCTTTAATAATTTTTTTTTTTTTACCAGAAGTTATGTGCTCTTGCCAGAGAGAGACAGAGAGAGAAAGAGAAAGTGAGAAATCAACCCCTATGGGGAATGGTCACACCACAGTCCCCTCTCCTCCAATTGTCCCTCTTATCAGGATTTTGGGTATGCATGCACACATGCCTGGCATGTTTCTCAAGCCGCTGGTTCTGGGACTTGAACTATGGAGTCAATGTGGGATCCGGCTGCCTTAACCACTACATCACAGGCTGACGGAAGAGTTAATACTTTGATGAAAGAAACGGTACTACATGAATTTCTCCTTTTCATAGCTTTCAGACTGAGAGAAGACACCAGTCTACATCAAATGTGAGCAGGGAGTGTGGAAAACCTGCATCATTTCTGTCTAAAGAACCAGAGGACAGAGTTTAAGGTAACTATAGCTAGTAAAACTTAAGAGAAAATCCCTCAAGGGAGAGTTTAAAAAATAGAGGCCAAAATTCTGTCTATACGTTATTTCCAAATTTTCAGCTAAACCTTGAATCACACCTGTGGGATTGGGCTTCAGCAGACCAAATCAAACTAAATGAGCACTACTGAGACTTAAGTTGTTGCCTGTGCTTGAGAATGAGTTTAGAGTTTGAGTCCAATCAAGTTAAGCATCTATTAAAAGAATCAACATTTTTTAGAGAAATACAACAGAATCAGAGTCTCCACAATACATCATCTACAATGTCCAAAATACAATCCATAATTACTTCATAAAGAAATAGGAGAAAAATCTTCTCTTAAGAAGGGACATTATGAAAGCATGACTGTCAAGAAAACTTAGATGTTACATGTAGTAGACAGGGGTTTTAAAACAGTTATTATACATATGCTCAAAGATGTAAAGAAAGAAGCCCTCTACATCTGAGCTGTGAGCTGCTCCTTTCAGGGACTAGGGCAACCGAATATTTTCTGCTTCAAGTTCACCCTCAGACCCCATAATCTAGACAAGACAAACCAGTCTCAGGCCATCTCAGAAGCCCTCTACATTTGAACCATGAGCTGCCCCTATCAGGTACTAGGGCAACTGAATATTTTCTGCTCCAACCTGCTGCACAAAGGGAGAAATTTCTCTTCATAAATCTGAACTAAAACCTCTTTCTGTGGACACCACATTGCAAAACACAGTAGAGGAGATAAATGGGCACGGATTTATCTCATAGTAAATGGAAGCATGTGAAGCTTACAGTTGCAGAAAACTTCTCCAACAAATTAGCCAAAAGTAAATACATCACCAAATGACTAAAATTCAGAGAAGAGAAACTGCATAGTGAACAGCAGGGAGAAGGATGGAGCTGCAGAGAAAGCATGTCTCACCTCTTCCTGCATGTCTCTGAACTCTCAGTTGAAACCCTCCAGCTCAGCCTAGCTGCACCTGTTCTCTAGAAACCGGGAGGCCTTTGTAATATCTAGTTCCAATGAAAGAAATGCAGGTTGTTTGATGAACACCAGGGAAACAGAACTGTAGAGATATTGCAGATCACCTCCTCCTGCATGTCTCTGAACACTAGGATTTAACTCCAAGAAATCAGGAGAAAAAGTATAATCCATCACATGACCAAAAACCACCACAGAGGCACAAGAAACATGAGAAACTAAGAAAGTATTTCTTTCCCAAGGGAAAAGAACTCTTCATCATCCACAGATGGTGCAGTGGAACTTGTGTAAATGTTGGATAATGAATTCAGAATATTTATAGTGACAAAACTAACAGAGAATCAAGAGAAGAGAGAAAACAAACCCCAGATGATGAAGGAGAAAAGAGACAATGAGTCCCAAGAGGTGAGGAAGTTCTTGCATGATTTGAAAGTGGAAATACATGCCATAAAAAGAATCAAATGGAACTGTTAGAGATGAAGGCTGTAATACAGGAAATCCAAACCTCCCTTGAAAACATTAGAAGTAGATTAGATCGTGCAGATCATATCTTAGAGGTAGAAGACAAAACCTTTGACTTAGAAAAATACACCAAAAAGACAGAGAAAATACCACCCCCCCACCATGAGAATAATGTACAAGAAATACTAGATTTCGTTATACACCCAAACATCCAGATAATTAGTATCCCAGAAGGTGAAGAAACTATTAAGGGCATTATAATCTATAAAATCCTGGAAGAAAACTTTCCAAACTTAGAGAGGCATTCAAATATCCAGACCCAAGAAATACAAAGGACCCCTAATAGAGTCAACCCAAGAAGATCTTCTCCAAGGAACATCATAGCCAGCTTGATCAAAACCACAGACAAGACAAATACTAAAATTGAGAAGAGATAAATGCTACTTACAAAGAATATTCCATCAGGCTAACATCAGATCTCTTATCAGAAACAGTGCAAACAAAAAAGAGTGGAAAAATATACTCAACGTGTTAAGTGAAAATCAATTTCAACCAAGAATACTATACCTGGCAAGATTACCCTTCATATGGGAAGAAAAGATAAAAAATATTCTCAGATAAACAAAACCTGAAAGAAAGAATTTATCAACATCATACCAACTCACCAAGAAGTTCTGAAGGGAGTTTTATACAGGAAAACTAAGACAGATTCACAGAAATAATAGTACAAAAACAACCAACAAAATGACCAACTTAATGATAGGGACAAGTCCGGAAAGATCAATAATAATCTTGAATGTAACGGAAAGATCAGACCACAGTAATACTTCATATTCAACAGAAGAGAGATTAATTACATGAGACTGAACTGGTAAAATAGAATTTTATGACTTTTAACTAAAACATTACTGATTTTCTTCTACGCTTTGTTTTCCAGATTTAAGGATTTTTTTCCCTCTTTTGAGCTATTGATGGGTTCAACAATTTGTTATTTTTTTTTTTTTAAATTGAAACACACTTTTCTCCGTTCCTGACTCCTCTAGAATTGGAAAATATTTGGGAGTCTTCTTATTTTGTGACAGAATGTTTATTTGCATAAGTTTAGTAGTATCTGTTGCCTTGAACTTGAATCAGAAATTGAAAATACTGGTTAAATTAATTAGTATTTTTATGGGGCTTTGTGCAAATTACAGACCAAATTGAGACTAAATTTATTTATTTTTTTGCAAGTAAGTTAGTTTATGCCTCTCTTTGGTAAAATGGGGAAGGGAGAGAGGAAAAAATGCCTCAGAAGAAAATTACAATGCACTTATTACTAGATTTTAGCTTTGTCCATATCTGTTTTTGAGTTTTTAGTATCTACCTACTGTTTGAACAGAATCTTAACCTTTTTCCTTGCTTTAAGTCTTAAGCAAATTTTTCTTAACATTTTAAAATTTTGATTTATTAAAGCTAACACTGCTTTTATTGAAATTAAAAATACATTAAAATAATGAAATATCTATTTAATGACCACAAAAACAAAACCAAAAAAAGATGAAAAGTATGATTATAATGAGTACAAAGATAAAAAGTCTAGAAATGCAAAGAAATAGAATTATAAAAAATAGGGCCAGGGGCCAGCCGGTGGAATGGTGGTTAAGGAGCTGGATTCTATATGGCCAATTGCAGACCCAGCAGCTTGAAATTCACACCAGGTGCGTGTGTGTGTTTGTGTGTGTGTGTGTGTGTGTGTGTGTGCGCCCAAAATCTCAAGAGGCGAATGGGAGAGAAGAGATTGTGGTGTGGCCATGCCCCTTGGGTTTGATTTCTTACTTTCCCTCTCTGTCTCTCACTGTCTTTCTCCAGCAAGTGCATGCACCCTATGGGAAAACCTTAAAAAATAAAAAGGGTGGGGGGCAGCCCATGGTGTGGTGGTTAAGGAGGCTGGATTCCATGTGGCTGACACCATGGTTTGAGTCCCAGACCGAGAGGCTTGTGTAAGACACTGGGCATGTGTGCCTGAAATCCTGACAAGAGGGAGAAATGAAGAAGGGATTGTTGCATGACCTATCACCGTGGAAGGTACTTTCTCACTTTCCCTCTCTCTTTGTCTCCAGTTAGCACATGTGCCTTTTGGCATATAATTTAAAAACAAAACAAAACAAAACAGAAAACTTCTAGAACTGAAAAATGCAATATTGTAAACAAAAATATTCACTAAATGGGATTAGCATAAAATGAAAATGACAGAAGAAAGCATAAATGAACTTAAAGCTAGATAAGTAGAAATGATCCAAACACACACACATATATATACACACACATATATATATAATACATGTATAATACATGTATATATAATAAGTGTATATATAATACATGTATATGTATTTTTTTTCTTTTTTTTTTTTTAGGGTGTGTACACTCACCAGAGAGATTGAGAGAGTCAGAGAGATAGAAAGTGAGAAATCACCCCCCAGGGGAGTTGGCCACATTGCAATCCCTTCTTCCTTCATTCTCCTCTCAGAATTTTGGGCACGTACGCATGTGCACCTGGTGGAGTTTTAAACTGCTAGATTCATGACTCGAACTGCAGTTGACCAAGTGAGAGTCCAGCGATGTAACCATTATACCACCTGCTTGTCCCCTGAGAAAAGATATATAAAAATATTTTAAAAGATATTTTAAAAGTCCTTCCTAAAGTCACAATATCAGAAGGCCTGTTTTGTCATTGGAATCCCAGAAGAATAGTGAAAAAATGGAGCTAAACAAGATTCTTGAAAAAAACGTGGTTGAAGTTTTCAAAGAAACCTATAGCATCAAGAATCTCAAAGGGACCAGCAGTTAGCATAATGACTGTGTCGCTGAACTCCCATGTAGCCGACTGCGGTTTGAGTCCCAGACCCGGTGGCTTAAATTCACGTCAGGTGCATGTGTGTGCGTGCCCAAGATCTCAAGAGGAGAATGGAGGAGAAGGGATTGCGGCGTGGCCATCCACCCTGAGGGGTGATTTCTCGCTTTCTATCTCTCTGTTTCTCTCTGTCCGTCTGGCCAGCACATGCGCTCTATAGCAAAAACCTCTAAAAAAAAAAAAAAGAAAAATAAAAAGAAAAAAAGAAAAAGAATCTCAAAAAGCCCCAGTCAGGATATCTATTAGAAAAAGCCACACCTAGTCACAACTATTGAATATCAAAGATGAAGAGAAAAATCTTAGAAGGAAGTCAGAGAAAAATCACACATTACACATAGGGGAACAATTCAAGTGATTGTTGACTCAGCATCAGGAACATTGAGTCCAGAAAACAGAGGAATAAATGTTTTAATGTGCTAAAAGAAAAAACAGGCAACCTAGGATTCTAAATTCAGTGAAATTTAGTCTTCAATAATAGAAGTGAGGTAAGCATATTTTAAGATAATAGGAAACCAAGAAAGTTCATTTTCATAGACCTACACTGCAAAAAATGCTAAAGGAAGTTCTTCAGACAGTTGGAAAATGATAATTGATTGAAACTCAAATCTTCAGAAAAAAAAAGGAAGAACTTTTCAAATGGTAAATATGTAGAT